AGCTCTAGCGGTCGTTGGAGGGCTTCGTTTATCTTCTTCTCACCTCCTAGCAGCAGCTGGAACTTTATATCGGCATCTCGTATTCCGTATACGAAGGCTATTCCTGCCTCTCTTCCTATGTGGTCTGCAGATAGATTGGGGTAGGCATGATGGGAAAGCAGTTCAATGGCCGTGGCAAAGTCTTGCAGGGATTCTCCAGGTTTCTGGGTCCTTGTTCTTAATTGGCAGCGGTAGGCAGCTGCAAAGTGTTGGTCCCCGAAACGGTCCTCTAAAGCCTGAAGAGTTTCCTCGTAAATGGCATTTGCTGGAATGCCGGATAGCATTTCTGCCGCCCGGCCCTTCAGAGCGGTGATCAGGTATGTTAATTTTTCCCTGTCCAACCATTGGTTGTGTTCTGCTACGGTCTCGAATTGTCGCCGGAACACGCTCCACGTTGAATTCCCGTTGAATGTCGGTGGCTGAGCTGTGCTCGCGACGATCGTTGACGTATTTCCCCGCTCGGCCTTCACTTGCACTATGTCCAACCGGGCCTGGAACTCGCGTTTGGTTTTGTCAATTGCTGTGCAGGTTTCGTTGTAGTTTTTCATCAGGCTTTCCTGGAGTTTATCTGTCCGCGTGCAGAAGGACACTTCAATCTGCTCAGTTATTTCTGACCGGAGAGTCCGTTTGTCGTGTTCAACAATCGCCAAAATGTTTTCAACTCTATGTTGGATTTTATCATCCAATTCTGTTCGCATAGATTGCATTGCGGCCTTCAATTCTTCCTTGTCGGCCGCCGCCTTTTCTTGGTTGGCATCTAATTTGGCCATTAAATCCTCTTTGTCTTTCCTCCTATTGGCCTCCATTTCTTGGTAGGATCTCATGTTGGCGTCCATGCTGTTTTCCATCCAGGACATGTTTCGGTTTTATAGAAAACATCACCAGGTTAATAATCGATACCAGGAAGTAATGACAGAAATTACAACTATCTACCCTGGCAGAACATGTTTTACATCATTATTCATTCATTCATTCATTCATTCATTCATTCATTCATCAATGGCTTTGCAGCCCTTTCTTGGGCCCTGGCCTCTTCTTTAGTTTCTTAACCTTTTTTCACAGATGGTTGAACAAGTGAACAGCCTGTTGCAAGGCCGCTACCTACACACAGGATAACACAAACACAGAACACACACATCTATCCCTTGAATGGGATTTGAACCCATGATCCCAGTGTTAGAGCAAGCGAAGACAGTTCATACCATAGACTGCATGGCCACTGCGATCAGCTGTTACATCACTGTAGATAGCCATAATTACTGAAAGTACTTTGTGCTATTAATTATCAGCTTGATGACTGTTTTTGTAAAACCAAAACACGTAGTGGAATAAAATTAATGAGTACATTATTAGTGCTTTATCTGTAGCTGTGCAAATGTTCAACAGTTTGAAACTCTGTCACGTCCACACAAATAGGACACAACTTCTGAAAGTCGCTAAAAAAATCTGTTAAATCACAGGTGCAACATTCATAACTACAGATGTATTTGTAGGACTACCTGATAATGGTCCTGTGAGGACTGAAACGTGTAGTAAAAGGTAAAGTTGTCTCTGTGCTTAACTACACCATGAAGATGTAAGGTAGCATGGATGTATAGATCCACATTTTCTTGACCTCAGCACTAGTTGGAGGTGAGTGGTCAGCTTCACGCCCCGACCGCTTTACCCATGGGGAAGAGCCCCCAGTAAACATTGTATAGGAAGTTGGGTGTACCCTAGAGCCAGTCTGGATGACATGGAGAAGTGAAAATTTTTGGCCCTACTGGGATTCGAACTCGAACCCTTTGTTGTCCAGCCTGTAGCCAGCTGCCATGGTGGCTCCTCCAAAATATGTAGCAGCCACTGAAATAAACCAAGTGTTAAGAGTTACCTTGGTTTATTCAATTAAATATTGTTGTGTCAATAGCCAAATCTTTTCCCGTTAACTCTTAGGAATTTCAATGAATTAGCATTCAGTGTACTTTTCAGCTTTGAAGATCAAGTAAGTGCATTCCTCTGTGAATCAATGTGCAAGTGGACTATATGATATCACATCCCAAAAGAGACAACTCTTCAAGCTCTATTCTATCTGGAATATTTTTTGATATGGACAATATTTAATTAACTACAAGGAAAATATTTCTGACTTTGTATGATGAACATAACATATGACTCCATTCCTAGTCCGTTGTCAACAGATGTTAATCTCTGGTACGCAAAACCATTGCTCCTGAAAACTGGGTGATGCCAAATTATTTAGGATGACTGCAGTTGGAAATGCATCACTAAATAACCCAAGACTCAAATTATTTGGCTACTGAAGGGATAACACAGTCAGTATTGCGGCTGCTTACAGGCTGGATGACAGAGGGGTTGGGGTTTGAGTACCAGTAAGGTCAAGAATTTTCTCTTCTCCATGTAGTCCAGACTGGCTCTGGGACCCATCCAGCCTCCAATCCAATGGGTATGGGGGGGGGGCTCTTTCCCTGGGGATAAAGTGGCAGGGGCATGAAGCTGATCACTCAACTCCAGCTAGTGTTGAGGTCCATTCCCCCATATGCCTTTATGGTGTAATACTTAATTACTTAAGCACAAGGACAACTTTACCTTATTTTAGTCAGAAGTATGAAAAGTTTAGTGAAGTCATTCTCTGTTTATCTTTCAGAATAAATGACTTCCATTTAGTGCTACTCTTAATTCAGCCCATAGTGATGGAACTTATAAACCTGGATTTATTCATGAATACTCGAGTGGAAAACTACTGCGTCCTAAAGATTTGCCTGTTATGATTACTTCAGGATTAACAGGTTAGCAAAATGTAAACAAGGAATGGTACTTCCCTTCTGTAACTGATCAGTTCCTTCAGCAACAAACAGATGCATCACAACCTGGTTGATTATTATTAATGTACTGGAGGGACCAGATGCTTCCATTCTCAGGGTAATAGAGTAAGCTTATCATGGGAAAAATGGTACAGAAGTTTGGAAAGGACCAATATTCTTCACACTATTCTCCTTTCCCTTACTGGTTCACTGAGGGCCCTGACCCTATCTTCAGAGCTTCACAGTCACTGCTATGAGAACCTCAAATCTCAAATGTATCACAAATCTGTACAGAATTTTGCCATCTATCTTAAAATAAGGTTTGTTTAAATAGCAACTAATCACGATAATTTAAATTAATGTTTTTGCATAAGTAACGACAGTTAATATGGATTTGATATGAGTTAGCATAGTTGGTTAGTAAAGACAGGTGAACAGACTGAACAATTTTAATAGAAACTTTGCAGGGTTGTGAATGCATCTGAAAGTGAGCTATGGGAATTAAGCTTAGTGATTTATATTTTCAAGTAATAATTTGGGATTTTAATCATGTCTTTCAGTAGCAGATATTCAAATTACTAAATTTTAGCTATTTATTTTTCATTGATGATGATGATGAGGAGGAGGAGGAGTGTGTTCAGGGGTGCGAGAGCATCATTAGCTATACGCATATCTAACTAAAAACTTAATAAGAACTGCACTTAAAAAACACAGAAAGGCAAATTATATTTCATTGATATTGTCTGACATGTGATTTTATAATACTTCTCTGAGTTCGGAGCATCGATATTTTCCGTCTATCCCATTGAGGAAAGTTATGGTAAAGTAACTCACCTAACACCAGCAAGGATATGTCTTTCCTGTCAGACCCTGCATCATTCACAGCTTCACATCTATAATGCCCAGAACTGCCAAAGGTAGCCACAAATCTACGGAAAAAAAAAACCCAACATGAGTGGTTTCTTTCTTTCTCTAAAGGTGTGTGAGAAACATGGATTCATTACACAAATACAGTGAAATATTCATTTACAATTTATTTGGTGACCAGCATATTTGAACATTAAACCAACAACAATTTTAAACAGGGGAAATTACTGATCTAGTCCAACTGAGGACCTAAAAGTCTGTGATGATGGTCCATTAGTACAAATATTATGTTTCTGGACATTATTCATCGTTTCGCTTTCATCTAAAACACTGTCCTGTTTATATTCAAAACACAATGTTTTGGTGACTGGATTCTGTTTTCATCTTCAGGTAAAACCTACTCAGTTGGGCCCAGTCAATAGAGCTAGTCCCTATCTCTGGACATATAAACAGGACGGTGTTTTAGATAAAAGCAGGATCATGGATAATGTCCAGAAACATAGTATTTGTAGTTCAACTGAAATAGACTGTTAAATGACAAAAAACATATATGAAGGAACATAAAATGAAGGTTTCAATGTATGACATTAGACAATGGCCAATATCCAACATAACATTTCTATGGATATTTGTTTCCATTTACTCTCTAAGTTCTTTAAAAGAAAGTATAAATGAAATGAAGATATATTTCCGACTTTGGCAAAACAAAATGTTATTCAAAACTGTTAGTACGCAAACCATAGGTCTGCATGCTAACTGGAAGTCTTTCCTTGGGCCAAATTACATAAGTATGAAATTCTTGCCCATTTCACAACACGGGAAGTTATTAACAACAATATAACATATTTAATTAATGATCAGACTTCAAGTGTAAATCAAATATTTCAGAGATTCAATGTCAACTCTTCAAAAAAAATATTTTCTTTCTGCTGCATGTTCATGAACTGTTACTTTTGTATGAACACTGATACACTTATAATTAAAATTGTTTTCCTCAATCATTCTTCATAATAGTTGTCCAGTTTGTTAAGAAATTTCAGCCCTTGTATGGAACCCACAGGATGAAAACCATGTTCCACAGAAGTCCCCACCGGTCCCTCTCCTGAGCCACGTAAATCCAGTGCACACCTCACTACACTGTTTCCTTAAGATCCAGTATACGACCATTCTGTATTACATTATTACTGAATATACTGTCACATGACTAATAATAATTGGTTTTGGATTGGATGACTGGATTTATTGATCATTCTTTTACCATCACTTATAATCACAATCAATTACAATAACTAACAATAAATCTTCAGCTCAATTCTGACTGGATTATGACTGACTTGAACAATGAACTCTGATCTGAACAGCCTCTTATATGGCATATCGGTATCCAAGGAAATGTTTGTTGATCACTCCTTTCTATGGAAACGTGTTTCGTAATGGGTTGGTTTCCAAGAATCAATCTCTATGAAAATGTGTTTGCCAACTTGTTTCTTAGCAATGGGTCTACACGTCACAATATTTGAACTAAAATTTTCTTTCTGTAGATCCTTAATTCTGCACTCAATACATATCATTTTACTGAATTCAAACTTGTACAGACACTATAGAGTTTTAACTATAGAGCTAGAGTGTCATATTGCTTTCATAACTGGGACTTTCTTTGTAATGGCTACACTAGCACAGGATACAAGATAAACTAGAGTTATTAATTAATTAAAACATTTAAACAATAGTAACATAAATATGCTGAATAAAATAAACTATACATTAGCTTAGACATAACAAGGAATATATAAAAGGTTAATATAAAACATCACTCAGAGAAGGCGGTGGAAAGATAGCATTAAAACAGATCTCACTTTTATTTGTGCTAGGTTTATTTCATGGTGCTTTCGGTATTTCAGATTATATGTCATAGAATGATAGGGTGATTCAAGAATTATGAATTAGAAACTATGTAAATGGAAATGGTTGTCAGCTAATTTGAGGTACTACCCCAGAATTCACTTATAGGGACTATGGAATCCATTAAGATTACAATCAGGCATCTTCAAGGTACAAGTCGGAGACATTTCTGCCAGAGTCAACTTACTCGGTGAAATGGATTTTACAGAAGTGTTATGAATATAGGAACTTGACTCAGCTATGCAACCCATGTTCTACCTGATGGATCATAGGAGCTACTGGTATCCAGAATTCCCTCACCCGAGGAATCTATGCTGTTGCTTCCTTGTTTATGTAATCCCATCATTTCAATATACCATGTGATTTTCCCTTCCTCCAGTTGTTTAGTAAGCAAACGCTTTGTCTTGGTACTGAGGACTGGAATCGAGTCTTTCGTTTTCCAGTGGCCAGCTTTACCTTTTAATCAACATCACATACACATGCGATATGTAATTTTAATGTACAGTGGAACCATTCTGGCAACGTGCATCTAATGATGGTTGTGTATGGCCGAAACATGTAGTGTCAGAGAAGTAGGACAAGACAATAAGTTGTATTTCAGACAGAAATATATGTATACAAGTGAATACATTTTAAACACAATATTACTATTTTTAGTTACTATAAACACCTACCTGACAGTGGCATTATTGTCAAAATACATGACTTCATTCCCATAAGAAGATAAGGGCACTTCATCTTTGTGCCATGTGATCACTGGTTTAGGGATGGCTTCTACCTCGCATGTTAATGTAATCATCTGACCATCTATGGCACTTACTGAATGCCCTCCTGGCAATATGTGTGGTGGCACTGCAACGGTTTACAAAATCTTCTTTGATGATTATGGTCTTCTGTGGTGTGATACCAGGTAGTTTGGTGTACGATGGGGTACCCAAAAGAAACCGAACTAATTTTTTTGTGGGCAGAGCTTTTGTAGTACCGTGTTTTGCTGCTATGAGTGCATATAGCTAACATTCCTGGGTCGATAAGCTGACTACCGTTGCTTCAGAAGGTAAAGACTAGTTTCGGCAGAGTTCATAGTGACAACTGTTTTGTGTGATCGTCGTTTTTGCAATGGCTGATTTTCGTGAACAGCGTGCGGTGGTGAAATTCTGCTTTTTGCTCAGGAAAAGTGGAACACAAACTCTTGAAATGTTAAAAACGGCGTACAAGGACGATGCTATGGGGAAAACTCAAGTGTTTTCCCATTTCAAGAATGGTGAAATGTCAACTGATGACAAACCTCGTTCTGGTCGTCCTTCCACGGCCCAAACACATGAAAATGTTGAAAAAATTCGCGAAATCATCAAGGAAGATCGACGACGGACCATTGAAGAAATTGTGGAGCTGTCAGGAGTGACTTGAAGCTCAGCGGCCAGATTTGTGGCAGTCGGGTGACTGGTTTTTCCATCATGACAATGCCCCTGCTCACACAGCCCTGTCTGTATGACAATTCTTGACCAAAAATGGTATGACCCCTGTTCCTCACCCTCCATACTCACCCGACCTTGCCCCGTGCGACTTTTTTTGTTTCCTCGAATGAAAGGAGACATGAAAGGAAAAAATGACGGAGGCGCTGTCAAGCATCTCAAAAGAAGAATTTAGGGAATGTTTTGAAAAATGGAATAAAAGACTAGACAAGTGTATTAGTGTAAGTGGAGAGTACTTTGAAGGGGATTGAAGGTTTGTGCTTAAAATTTGAATAAATAAGTTAAAAAAAAATAAGTTCGGTTTCTTTTGGGTACCCCCTCGTATGTATAAAATCAGTACATCAGTTCCTGTCATTGAATTATTTCATGTATTATATTTTCCCATACGGTTCACTCATCTTCCCTGAAAATGAGGTGATACCCTTCCTCCAAAACTTTGTGTACCTCCCTACCAAACTGCACAGCATCACATCCCAGAATCCTAAAAACAATATATATTCATATGTGCAGGAATAAATTTTGCATTGACTTTGCATCAAATGAATATATGCTGAACACAGAAAATTTACATATTTTAGTTGAGAAACAGTGCAACCATTACCATGAAACTACTGAAGACAACACTAAATAATTAATCACTCCCAGAGAAGTTTACATTGTGTGTCACTTGACTCTAATTACATTACATAACAACATACTGGTAATTCTTAGACAAACCTTGCACAAACAGAGCCATTGTTTTACTTCCTTCTCCTGCTGGGTTAACTGCCGTACATACGTATGTCCCACTGTCTGCTGTACTCACAGAGGTCATTACCAGTGAGTTGTCTTCATTATTCTTGTAACTGTGGAAAAAAAGAGAACATTACATGAAATGTGGGTGTAAACCAGCATATCTATATGATTTAACCTTTAAATGCCAGACTTTTGAAATGGTGGTAAGCTTGAGCTGGCTAGAGTTTGTTTAAATGCCCACTGCCGGTGTGTGTTTAAATGTCCCTTCCTGTTAGGGTGCTTAAACAATTTTAAGCATTGTGTTTAAAAATGCTATATCTAACACAATTTTTATGATAAATGGATGGAATTAACTTTGTTCGTATCAGCAAAGAACATAGTGTTGCATATTATAATGGAAGATTTGAAAATTTTTATACAAAGAGTTATACTCTATTTTCAATTTTTCTCTTTTAATCTTGATGCGTACTCTAAAAATGCTTTCCCTGTTCTTCACAGAGTTGTTCTGCATTATAAATTCACTCCTGCTTGTAACACTTGACATATTTTAGCAGTCCCTGGTGTCATGAAATACGTGGTGTGTTCAAAAAGTATCGAGCCTTCTTTTTTCCCAAATAAACCAATGAAGCGTGGGAGACTCCCTTCAGTGGAGATGTGTAGGGGACATTCATTCATAGTCGTGAATTTTTTCCCGCCAGCAGAAAACGTCAGTTGTTGGCAGTCGGCCTATGAGTGAGAACGTGTAGTGAGCTCTCGTCGGATTCCAGTAAGGTGTAAAATGACGGAACAACATGAGCAGCGATATTGCATCAAATTTTGCAAAAAGCTTGGCGATACCCAAGTGGAAACCATTCGCAAGATTCAACAGGCTTTCGGGGACCATGCCATGAGCAACTCAAGGATAAAGGAGTGGTACAACCGCTTCAAAGATGGCCGCACATCAGTGGACAGCGAACCGTGTTCAGGCAGACCCTCAACAAGCCGAAATGAGAATGTCATTGAGCAAGTTCAGACTTGGGTCATGGAGGACCGTCGTATCACAGTCCGAGAACTTGCGAACGAGATGGGGGTAAGCATTGGATCGGTACATTCAATTTTGACCGAGGATTTGGGCATGAGGAGTGTGTCCGCGAAATTCGTACCGAAACTGCGCATCTGGTTCAGACTTTCTTCGCCAAACACAACATCCCTGTGGTTCGTCAGGCTCCCTACTCCCCCGACATGGCTCCGTGTGACTTTTGGCCATTTCCCAAGCTGAAAATGCCACTGAAAGGAACCCGATTTGAGTCAAGAGAAGACATCATGCGGAATGCGACGGCCCGGCTGATCACCATTCCAAGAGACGCGTTCCAGAAGTGTTTCCAAGAATGGCGGAAGCGCTGGGAGAAGTGTGTGCATTACCAAGGAGACTACTTTGAAGGTGATTAGGGTTTTGTACCTCCAAATCAATAAATGTATTTCTGCCGACCAAAGGTTCGATACTTTTTGAACACACTACGTAGATGGAAGCAATAAAATAATTTGGTTCTCTGCTGGCAAATTTTACATCTTTGTTACACTATTCAGATTTTCGAATCTTCTAACTAAAGGACAGGAGAATGAAAGCATGGTTATTCAAGAAAAAGCTAGAGGGAACAATTGGACGGTCCCTTCTTCAGTGCTAAGACCTTCCGTTATAGCTGCAAGAGATTATTGCCCCTTCCATGGTCATGAACAGACAGTCGCATTGTGGCTGAGATACAGATTGTGATCTGTTTTCTGTGCGTTCATAGTGAAATCGAATACTGTAGTTTCATTTCAGCTTATATATGTACATCAAGCAGACAACAACAAAAAATGTATGTACATCGAATTTTACTATATGTTTTAACACAGTAATCTGCAGAATATGCAATGACAGAACTGGCTTGTGAATGAGTTTGGGCATAACTCATATGCATGCTCTTTTTTGTTGTTGTTCAATTAGCTATCATTTTAATTCCTCTATTAGGGTTTTACTCAAGTCTGTCTGGTAAATACTACATTTAAAAATAAATATTTAGGACTGTGTATGCACTTCTACTAGTAGTGTGTGCATGTGCTTCCACTAGCAGAGTTTAAATGCCCGACTGGCCAAATCGGGGTACTTTGGCCACGACGACCATACTCATCACTGACCTGATCAGGGAACTTTGGATGTTAAAAGTTAAATCCTCATGTTTAAAAAGTTTAAAAAACCGAGCATCTGGCTTTACATGAACCTCAGGTTAAATTCATGGTGTGTATTTGTATCAACCGTCTTACAGTGCACACAATTTCACCTTTCTCTTCACTACATATTTCAGCACTAATGTGCCATCTTCAGGTGTGGTTTTGTTTACATCAAACCATTGCACTGTATGCCATCATGTCTCCTTTATAAAATGATTAAAATGTAAATATGTCATGTATAATAATAAAATTTATATATTAAAACTTTTCAAGATTTATCATCTATACGTCGCACTTCAAATTCGCGAGTTACGTCAATCCTCTCCTATGGCAGTACTCTTCCTATATTCTTGTGTATATCTGCAACATGAAAGTGTTACTCATTAATACCACGTTTTGACTTCTATCTGTTACGTGTGGTTTTACAATGTTTAATACTCACTGTGTCCTGTGTTGTGTCCATCCCTTGTGACTGCGTGCGTTGTACTGCTGGATATGTATGTGTGCTGTCTTCATATTGATGAGTTATGATGTTGTGGGGGTAAATGTAGTGGGGGTAGGTGGTGGGGTGTTGTTAGGTTGTTCTGTGTAAATAGTGTGTAATTCGTGAAATATTGGGTTATATATTTCTTTATTTATATTGTTCATATGCGTGTTTTTCTTTATTGTTCTGTATATATGATAGTTTTCTAATGTGTTTAAATATTGTCCTTTCTTATTTGTTGCTATGATATCCATAGTATTTTCTATTGCACCATATGCATGTCCTGTGTTTAATATGTGTTCTGAGTATCCTATATTGCTGTTATTGTGTCTTATGTCGTGTATGTGTTCTTTGTATCTGGTATTAAATTTCCTCTCTTTCTCCATTGTGAAATTTATCGTTTGTTGCAGTTTATGAAACTCTATAATAATCATACCATCAATATTTTTTTTTGTTTATATCATATAATATTAGTATGTCGTCAACATATCTGAAATATCCAATTATGTTCTGATTTTTTAATATGTTGTATATTTGTGTGTGTTCCATGTTCTGGATATATATCTCTGCTAATATTGCAGATGTTGGAGTTCCCATAGCTAAACCATCTGTTTGTTTGTAATATTTTTGTTCATACTGAAAATAATTTTGGTCTAGTATAGTGTTCAATATGCACATAATTTCTCTTTGTGTATTTATGTTTTTATTATGATTGTGTTGTAGTATATTTTTAGTTATGTTCATTATATCCTTCTTAGGTATGTTTGTATACATGTTTTCTGTATCAAAAGAACATAATCTTATGTTTTCATCCATTATAATGGTGTTTAAGTCATTCATTAATTGTATGGAGTTATGTATATTATATGTGTTTGGTAATTGTAAATATTCTTGTAGTGTTTTGGATAATAGTATTGCTATTTGGTATGCTGGGGCATGTCTCCAATTGATTATGGGTCTAATAGGTGTGTTATGTTTGTGTATTTTTATTGTCGCATGTAAATTTGGGGCCATGGGATTCATGTTTGTGTATTTCCATTTTTTTTTTTTTGTATCGTATTTGTGCATAGTTTTATTGTTTGTTTAATATTATTTTGGTATTGTTGTGTTGGGTCTTTGTTAATTAGTGTAAAATTATTTTCATGTATGAATTTCAATATTTTTTTGTTGATACTCTTCTTCTGTTATTATTACTAATGTTTTTCCTTTGTCTGCTTTTGTTGCTATTAATTTGTTATCTAGCATTTTTCTTTTTATATTCATAGCTAATTTTCATTCTCTCTTACTTTTATAGCTAATATTAATATCTTTGTTTTGCTAATATCTTTGATTTGTTTCGCAACTACATGTCTGTAGTAGTTGTGTTCTGTTATATCCTGTTTTGTTATCGCTGTTTCTGCTTTGAGAGCTAATATTTCAATCCATTTTTTGTTTTTATAGTGTAGATTGTATTTTAACCCTTTGCTTAAGAGCTGAATTTTGTCTTGTGTGAAGTGTGTGTTCAGGTTAAATATATAAAAAAATACGTATGCATATATATGAGGTACTACATTTAATTTTGCATTGTTTCTAAAGAGGAATTTTTATTGACTGATGAATCTTAAATATACGAGTTGAAGGCAACTGCTATGATCACAACTCTCAAAATGTTTTGGCTTTATTTTCTCAAAATCTGTGTAAAAGTAACACTTTTACTATGAAGCCCCACCATGGAACTACTTGCTACAAATGCCAAGTCTGGCTGGGGGTTGAATGCAGCTACACAGAATAAGCCACAATACTTCCCCAAATGAACTTCAAATGACAGCAGGTATAGGTTGTGTGAAAGTCTATTCATTCATCCAAACATTGGCGCACTGAATCTGATTTCATGCACTGACAGAAATTCTGATTAACAATGAGCCAATCTCTTCATCTGTGCCAGTTTTAATACAAAATACACCAAGCTGATGTAATTGGTAAGTCATGTGCAAAGGGTTAAGGACAAACTTCTCTGATAATCCTTATTATAACCAACCATGTAAACTGGGCCATCAACACAACATAAAAGTATCTTAAAGACGAAACCAAAACAGATGCCACTGTGTCATTATTGTTTATTTATTATGCAAAGATGTACGCCTTTATGGTTTGCATCCTGCTGTATGTTCAACAATCATGTAAATTTGGCTGTCAACACAATATAAAAGTATAGATACATACATACATAGATACATAATTTCACAGATCTATTGTCCAGAAACCGGAATGGATATTGAATTCGTCAGCAAAATGACATTGCAAAATGCAATCTAGGCTCAACAATTAAAATATTCAAGAATTATAAAATAAAAACACAATAATAAAATAAAAAGCAGTCATATAACAAATCTAGATAATACATAATCTTGGAAAGACAACAATAATGTATTATGCTTGCCTGTATGTCATGTATTCATCTACCGAATAAAATGCATTTAAAATAAGATAATCTTTTAGCTTTTGTTTAAAAGTATTAATATTGTTTTCAAGGAATATATATTGTATGGCAAGTTATTAAATATTCTAATGGATGAAAAATGCACACTCTTTTGAATGGAAGATAATCTCACAAAGGAAATACGTAGTTTATTATGCCACCTAGTACTTAATTTGTGTATGCCATTATTCACCTGATACATATCAGGATTTTTGAGTACAAACAAGACTATGGAATATATATATTGTAACATGTTGCGCGACTGAGAACCCCCCTCCNCTTCCCTACATGAACTCCTTGGCCCTAATCTTAACAAGACTATTAACCCGTTGCCGTGGTTCAACGTGTATGTTTCATCAGGGATTTAAATCGTCTGGGGGGGTTCGACGTGTATGTTTCGTCCAGCTGCACACCTATGTTATAACGCCCATAATAATTGATGGTTTTGCCGTAGATTGTTAGATTTTTCGCTGGCCTGTT